GGCTTAGATACTGTCATAAAGACACAAAATGGACTAAAATGACTGGTTACCTCTTTGTTACGACATGAGTGGTACACACACATAATTGTATAATGTATGTTCATTCTAGAAAATGCGGCTAAGAAAAACCAGTATTTAAAAGAATACACCTTGGGGCCGGGGAGATGGCTCAGTGGAATAAGCGCTTCCCTGGCAAGCGCAAGGGTCTGAGTTCAATCCCTGGTTCCGCAAAAAAAAAATAAAAAAATAAATAATAAATAAATAACTAAAATAAAAGAATACACCTAATAACAATAAGCTTGTCTTCTGGATGGTTAACAACCTAAGTTTGCAGACCAAATTAGAGAAAAAGGAGGGCTGCAAGGAAAGCCAACTTTTTGGCCCTAGCTTTCCAAGTTCAATTAAGACTCAGGACATACGAGAACTTGTACTGTAACATCATGTAACTCAGTAGTGTCCCAAGTTTTCTGATCAAGAAGATTATGGGGCCAAAGAGGAAAGTGAATGATGATGTAGAGTGTGCCTAAAGAGAGTCACATGGAGAGAAAACATTCTCTCAGGCTTTCACAGAGAGCACATTGGCCAAACAATGGCCGTGACTCATCCACATGGCTGACACTGACAAAGGTTCTACAATCTGAGGTACAGGATCTCAGGATAAATCCTGAGGGCATTTCACTGACCTTATCAGACCCAAAAGCTACAACTCTTGTTGCATAGATCCTGCTTTACCTTGGTCTTAACCATCCAGCACAAAAGTATAGAAACAAAATATAAGAAGTAAAGCCACAGTGTTATGTTGAGCTGTAGGGGACTCAGGTCAACAATTTCTGACATTGCCAGTCAAGCGGAAGACCCAATATTATTATGGGTTACTGGACTCTTTTGGAATATTTTGCTGAGTTTACACACCTATAATATTCAAATAACGGAACTTAACAAAAAAGGGTATACAGATGAATGTCCATTTTGTATCTGTGTATTCAAAGTGGCCAGGATAGATATATAGTTACATTCTCTTAATGAATAGAGGGATTTTTTCTAATGGTGTTTGTAAACAGGATATCATGTCCGCATCTTGTACAGCAATTAACCACTAGGAAGAATGTATGCAGTGTGTTAATTATTGAAACTGTCTCATTGCTATTTGTTTCTCAATAAAATTATGGAAAAAAAAAGAATAGATTTTCCCCCAGACAAATGCTTATGAACATTCATGTGATTATTCAGTTAAAAAAAAAGGGATGTAAAAAAATAAAATAAAAATAAAAAAAATAAAAGAATACATTTGACCCTCATCCAGAGATAACCCTGGGACATAGATATATATTCAAAACTTTAAATATATAATTAATATATTTTTAAATGCAGGTATATAATTATATAATGCATATGTTCACATTTTCCCCTCTTTTTATGAAAAGCATACACGCTTTTTTTTTTTTTTTTTTTTTTTTTGCAGAACCAGGGATTGAACTCAGGCCCTTATGCTTGCCAAGGAAGCGCTTATTCTACTGAGCCATCTCCCCGGCCCCGCATACACACTTTTTAATTTTTTATTTTTTTATGTATTTAGTACAGGGCCTATGGGGTCTCACTACACAGATCGGACTCGTTGTGATTCTCCTGCTTTCAGCTTCCCAAGAGCTGAGATTATAGGTGTGCACCACCATGGCCAGCCTCCATCGCCATCTCAGCATGCTGTGGGGGCAGGGCCGGACGGCATGCGGGGGATTGAACCCCCAGCCCCTGCGTCTGCCTAAGTAGGCGCTTTAGTCGGCTGAGCTCTCTGGCCAGCCCTGAGCTACACATTTTAGATGCCAACAATTACAATGCTTCAAACTGGTTATTAACAGAAAACAGAGATATCTACCATCACTCACCCAATTGCCCTTCTTGTTCTGGATACTACAAACAGGTTCACTCAAGGTCCTCCGATTATATCATCTCCATTTTGCGTACATTTCAAGAAAGAGTCTCATTAAATCACGGAACAAACATGTTTTTGTGAGCTTTGACTGACACCTTGTGGAAAGCAACTGCTACCAGCTATTTCGCAGCATCTGTCTTGGCTGACGCAGCTGGGCCCGGCGCTTCCACCTGATAATGTATCTCAGCCCAAGCTTCCCACTGTCATCTAGCAATTTCTATATCTGGGCTTGGATAGACCCAGAACTGCTTCCCAACTACAGATTGGGAGTGACATTTCACGTCTTCACCATAAAATTATTTGCATGGCAACTCCATTCAGAATATACCCTATTTGTTTGAAGCAAAATTCAGGCATCTCCTATGACGCCAGCCACAAAGAAATTTCACTAAGCACTGTTTCCTAGGTGTAGTTATCCTAAACAGCACTCTGAGATTTAGAGATTCTATCAGGGCTGGCAGAGAGCCACCTGGGGTGGCATCTGGAAACTTCTGCTCCTAGTGAAGAAGCTGGCATGATGCTGCCCTGGTACACGGCAGTCTGAAGTGCTGTGGAAGGGGTTTGCTTAGCTTGTCTGGGTTCCTGAGGGCACATGTTTGGGCTGCAAAGGGTGAGTAGAGAGTTGCATGGGACAGCATCAAATTAGAAATACCAGCAGGTTTTCTCTTTCTTTAGGTACCTCTTTAGACCATTGTCTCTTCCCTCAATGCTGGGATAAATACCTCACACCCAAAATGAAGGAAGGAAAGGTTTATTTAGCTCACAGTTACTGGAGGTTTCAGTCCATACTTAGCTGGCTCCAAGTCAGAGAGGTACATGGTAGAGGGAAGAGAGCAAAATGAGGAACAGCAGCAGCAAGGGCAACAGAGAGGAAGTCTGTCTCCCTTAAGTCGCACTCAGGCCCCAGGCTGGGTGTAGTATGCACACCCATAATCCTAGCAGTACTAAAACCCATAATCCCAGTGGATCATGAGTTAATCTCAAACTGTAGAAGTCCCTGCCCCATGACTGCCCGAGGCTTTCGAGGAACAACTAGACACAAAACATTACAACCTTGGCTAAGGGAAGGCTGTCAGAGAAAAATGAGACAGGGAAGTCAGAGCTACACGGTCAACAAGAGCTTTGGATGTGGGCCTGCTAGAGGGAGCTGGCTACACTGTGCATGCTTTAGACTTAACATCTTGAATTTGAGATTGAGAAAGCTTTCCTCTAGGTGCTCACGAGTCCCAGAGACAGGGGCAGATCCTTGGACTGTCTGTGAAGCTGCTGACTGAAGCCCTGAAGCCTGAGTGACCTCCCAGGGATGAGGAACAAGCCTTACAAGAGCACCACAGGCCACTTCCTAAAAGTTGCTGTCTCATTCATCTGAGAGTTGTGGAAGAGGAGGTTCTTCAAAGCTGAGAGACTTTTTTTTTTTTTTTTTTTTTTAAATCAAGAAAGACTTATTGAAGGCCTCAAGTCTCTGAATGTTAAAGGTTTTTAAACTAAGTTATGTGTGGAAGTACAAGGTCCTAGGAACAGTGTGATATATTTCTATTTACTCACAAAGGAGGAGGAGGAGGACTACGACGACCACGACAATGAGGACGAGGACGAAGACGACGTCTCGGCTGCTGGTAAAAAATGGAAAAGCTGTAAATTGTGTAGCTCCAGGGGCCACTTGCAGCAGGCTGAAGTCTCCGGGGTGCAGACTCAGACTTCCTGAGGCTCAGTCTTGGGTGGCTCTGGGCAGCGCAGGCCCATCAAGGCTGTCTCCCAGTGCCTGCAGTGGCAGTCTGCGTACTGTACCTGGCGCTGCTTACAAGGGGTCGTTTTCCTTGGACAACCCCGGGCGGCGTGACTCAGGGAGGCAGCTCTCTGAAACGGAGCCTCGGAGGAGCTGCCAATGAGGGGCTCCAGCAGGCAGCACTCCAGGACGCTGCAGCATCTTTTCGAGGAATCTGGGTGATGCATCTCTTGATCAATACCATGTGTTCTGTGGACACTGAGTCCTGAGACTTCCGTCACCTTCTCCTTACCCCCAAATTTATGCAGGGTAGCATGACAGGACCGTGGTACAGGCCTTCACCTAGAGGCGAAGGGCCCTGCTAAGGGACCTCTTGGTACTCAGTAATGCCTTTCGTATTAGTCACTTACCATGAGAATCACATCAGCACAAGCACACATATAGGGATGACGTGGGAAACGCTTTTCTAAAATACCGACCATAAGCAATGCCAATCATTAAATACAGACTGAATTATTCCCGAGTGCCAGAAAAGTGCTACAAGATTTTTATCAAGAAATAGGATATGCAATCAAAAATGTAAAGAGAAAGGTTGTGAAACTAGTGAAAACAAATTTTCCTTTTTTTTTTTTTTTCTGAGACAAGGTCTCGCTATGCAATTCAGGCTAGTCTAGACCTCTCTTTGTACCCAAAGTGGTCTCGAACTCACAACCCTCCTACCTCAGCCTCCCTCCCAAGAGCTGGGATTATAGGCGTGCGCCACCTCACCCGGCTAAATTTTCCTATATTTTGTGTTTATGGCACTGGTGGGCACCTTAAAGGTATTTTGGTTGGGATTTATTTTCGTTTTCATTTTATTTAATCTCAAGCAGCGAGGCCTCGTCTTCCCCCGCCTTCCGCCGGCCGCCCAGGGGCCGCTGACCCGGCGGCGGATGGAGTCCGCGCGGGAACACCAGGACGGCCTTCTCTGAGGCGTCTCCGGGCCGCGATAGCGCCAAGTACACACGCGACAAGATGAGAGCGAGACAATGGTAACAGACACCAACGCGCCGCAAAGAACCCCCTTGGCCTCCCCACTCCCGCCGCGGGCGCGACACTTCACGGCCCTGGGTTCATTTACGGCTCACCTCGCCCCACTTCCGCCCCGCAAATTTTAAGGGGCGGGGCTTATAAGTTGGGCGCGGATTGGCCGGCAGGAAGCAATGTAAACCAGTTTGAAATCCCCCAATCAGCGCCAGGCCCTTGCTCGCCAACCAATAGAAACATGAAAACCGAGCAAACGGGGCGGAGCTGCCTATTTGAACGGCACGCGGGAGCGGTGAGCCGGATTCTGCGCAGAGCGGTGTGTGGGTTCGGCGTCTGTCATGGAAGTCCAGGCTCTGGCGAGCCAGGGCCGAGAGGATGATGAGCTGCTGCTCAAACTCCGGGACAACCGCTGCCGCTTCCAGAAGCGCATGCAGCAGCTGATAGCGAAGGTGGGAGCCGCCAGCTGGCGGAGGGTTGGGGCGGAGAAGGCCCGGGATGCGGGGAGGGCTGCGTGCGGGGATTCGAGTGGGTCGGGGCCTGATCGGATGCTCCCTTGTCCCCCACAGTTTGAGCACCCCTTCGAGGACGACCCGCTGGTGCACATGTCCACGCTGACCTACATGTCGCCCGAGGGTACGGAGCCCGCCCCCCAGCACTGGTGTGGAGAGGGTGACCAGGGGCCCGAGGGTTCCAGATACTGCCTCTGCCCTCTGGCGAACAGAGCTGACTCGCCTCACTCTCGGGGACCAAAACATTCCTTGTTCCCTTGAAACTGTAGTTTATGTTTATGTCCAAGGTGGCAAACCTTGGTGCCTTGGAGTCCAGAGCCCCACCCCTCGCCCGCTTGAGCTGTTTATACACTGTATGGACCCCCTGGAAGCGCTGTAAGAGCCAGTTGCCCCAAGATGTGCTTATTCTCCAAACGTTGTAGATCTGTGGCCCTCCACGTCTGTGTTAAGGACAGCACTTGGCACAGCTCGGTTCTCCTCTGGTTGTGATGTAATTTGATGAGCTTGCCAGGTAGAAGAGATTTCTGTTAATGAAAGGTCTAGTCCTCATTAAAAACCCATGACTTGACAGTGTTAAACAGCAAACTGTCCGAAAGCCGACTTGCTTTTATTGTTATATACACTGCGTATCTGTCACTTTGTCTTCTGTAAATACGGATTAAGCAAAACTTCAATATTGCGAATTGCTTCACTGAAATGACTGTTTTTGTTTCTTTTTCTAAGGATTGAGAGTATGGGGAGGAAAACTAGTAAGAGAAACAAACGGAGGACAAATCCAGGTATTCCATGTCCATTGTTTCACTTGCCAAGAAGGGTGGATGACCGCCACTACGAGAGAACCTGGTGCTGAGAGCCACTGAGGCCCTGCAGGCAGGATGCTGGCTTTCCTTGTCCTTCATCCTATTCCTGTTTCAGGGTTTGCAGGGAGCGCTTCCTGACAGCTGGCCTCCAAGTGGAGAGGCTGAGCTGTTGGGCCGACCTCCTGCAGGCCCTGTAGCCATTGTTGAGCCCTTGTAGGAAAGACCATACCCACAGGCTGGGTGTGGAGGCACACTGCTATAGTCCCACTAGGCCTGGGCCACATAGTGAGTTCAAAGCTGTCTCAAACTACATAGTGGAACCCTATGTCCAAAAAAAAAAGACAGATCCACTTTCTCTGGTCAAGGAGATGAAAAGCAAAGAAAGAGGTAGGCAGAGGGAAGTCTGCAGGAGCATGCATTTCCTTCTGCATGTCTCTCCCTTCTGAGAACAGGGTTTCAAGCCCCATGTCCCCAAATGATCCCAAGGCTTTGCAGCTAGTGATCGGTCACCATTTGACTGGGTGGTGCCAGTGGTTTGCCTTCCTGCCATGGAACTCCACTCAAGCAGCCTGTTGCCCGGGTAGCTCTTGCGATGCTGTCCGTCTGGTGTTCTGTTAGTCGGAGCTTCTCAGATAGATGCCTGTGGTGCCTGCTGTGGTCATAGGTCAGGGAACTGGTGTCCAGGAATAAAACCCTCAAGGTTAAGGTTATACAGTATTGACAGCAATTCTAAAAATCAAACCTTCTTGATTAGTAACTTTAACCATAGAAATGTTAGAAGTACTTAAGAGTACTTAAGTGTAGTTTGACATCTGTGTGTAAAGCATGTTTTAAAACTATACATTTTTTAAATCCCTTTCCAGTTAATATACATGGGGAACCTTTCTCTTCATGCATTGTGTGATTCAGTCGCTTTTTCTATGCAGGGCAGATGTAAGTATCTAAGACTTGCCACTGTACGTGTGTTGCCATAGCTACTTGGCACTGTTGTAGGGGAAGCCCCTGCAGGACAGGTGTAACGGAACAGGTGTGGCTGTGTTCCCACAGAGTTCATCTAACCCCATCTTGTGTAGTCCTCGGGTACATCCTGGTCCTGCCCTCTTCCCTGGGCTGAGTAGCTTCCTTTGCAGTAGACATGGGGAAGTGGGGCTCGGCAGCCAGAGGTCGCGCTCTCCTTACTTCTCAGCACAGTGCTAGGATGGTCCTGGTGGCCCAGTGTTTCTCTCTGGACATTTCTCTAAGGTTTTTACTTCAAGTGTGAGAGGACTCCTGCTCAGCATCTGTATAATATTTAGACCCTTTCTTGGGATTGTAAAGTTGGGTATAGCTGTGATTACAAATCGGACAACCACAACCTCACTGTAATTGCTGTTGGTGGCTGGGCCTGGCTGCCTGTCTTTCCCCAAAAACCTAATGTGCAAAGTGACCTGAGATCACTGCCGTGGAGTGGTGGGAGATGGCAACCTCGGTATGCAGCATCTTCACTGGGGGCGAGTGATGTTCCAGAGGAAGGTTTGGGCTAGTGTTACTCAGTACCCAAATCTCCTGGGCCTGCAGGAGTGACCCCGAGGCCCCTCCCTCCCAAGGGGTCTCCCCAGAACCCACTCCCTGCTGTGACGGGTCTGGTGCTTCTTAAGGTGCATGGCCCATTGGGCGTATTGCGTGCTCAGTGCTCTCGAAGCTTCCTGCGCCTGGGGAAGGACTGTGGGCTTAGTGAACCAGGGCCTCACGAAGTGCTCTCTGTGTGTCTTGACTGATTTTTGCACCTCCAGGACACCCCCGAGAAGCAAGGCGATGAGCTCCTACATCCCTGTGCACAGGCCCAGGACACAGGTGAGTGCAGCCCAGGCTCAGCTGGGAGGCCAACGGGGCCCCTGCTCAACAGATGGTCCCCTATGACAGTTTAAAGACTCCTCGTTATAAAAGTTTTCCCACTTAAAAGCTAAAGACATCTTAACACAGCCTGCCACCACTTCCCAAGCAGCCTGAAGGCCGGGGGGGCCGTCTCTCGCCCAGCAAGGTCCATCCACGGTGGCCAGCAGGTGAACAGCACGCGGGTGTTGATAAGGCTTAGCCTTGCCCTGAATGCACACTCCACCTAGACCTTCCTGCCTCTGCAAGGCCGCTGTGCCCTTCTTCCTCCTCCGCCCGCCCACCCACCCTTCCTTCACCTTCCTTCTTCTCTCAGCTCCTCTCCAGCCTGCGTCCTCCATGGGCACTTAGCCTTGCTCCATTTCTGTGAGACTCTCCCCACGCAGCTGTAGTGTCCCTGTCAGCTCCCTTCCCTCTGTTCCCTCCCTCCACCTACACTTCCAGGAAAGCGCCCACGTGGCAGCCCCCTGCTTACTCCCTCCCTGGCCAGACACTGCCTGTATGGGAGGAAGCCAGCTTGGGAGGAGGAGGGGGACACCAGGCTTGAGCCAGGAGCTTCACCCCGTGCTGCTTCCTGACCCCCTTTTTCTTTTGCGGCAGCATCTCCCCAAGTTACACAAGCTGAGCTGAGACAGCCCTCCTGCCTCATCCCTCTAGGGCACTGGGGTCACAGGTGTGCATCACTACCCCAGCCACTGGCCACTCCACAGCCCTTGTCTCCCGCCCAGCTCCTTCCTGGCAACTTGTCTACGGCAGGCAGCTGGTAACATGAGTTGCTGAGTCATATGTTACTGATAAAATTGTTCTTTTGGGGATAGGATTAGAAAGAAAATCTCAAAATAATGGGATTTTTCTTTTTACTGATACTAACCCAAATCCTAACTCCATAAATACTTTTATCTATGAATTTCCCAGACTGCTGGAGTTAGTTCCGAGCCACATGGCCCCTGGTGACTGGGCAGCAGGTGGAACCTAGCGCATCCCACTGGGCAGTGCCAGGGCAGGACCTCAGCTTCTAAGATCAGAGGCCCAGCAGCCACTGCTAGTAGGAAAGGCATGTCCTGCTGCTCGTTGCAGCCTTGACTAGTGATAGGTGGCTTTGTCCCCAAGGAAAGAAAGCATTCAAAGCAAGGAGATTTTTAAAGTAGAACATACTCGAGATGATACAAAAACCAACCTTGATAAGAATATACAGGTTTTCCTAAAAATCCTGCCTGCCTCTGTTTTCTTTCTCTTCAATTTCTTTTGACCAATTTTGCATGCTTATATCTCGTAATCTGAACAACTAATTCAAAGACAATATGCAATGTAACAACCATTGTTGAATTCATTATAGTTAGTGAAATTGTGTGTCATTTCTTTTTTTTTACTATTTTTTATTTTTATTTTATTTATTTATTTTTTTCTTTTTTTTTTTTGGCGGAACCGGGAATTGAACTCAGGGTCTTGCGCTTGCCAGGGAAGCACTTATTCCAATGAGCCATCTCCCCGGCCCTTTTACTACTTTTTATGCACTTAAAAAAATTTTTTTTTTTAAATCCTGCTTACCATTTTCTCGTTTACTTCTAGATTCAGAGAGTAGTGACACCGACGCAGTTTCAGACCAGGGCTCCCCTTCTGCCTGCGCCCTGGTGAGTACCACCAGTGAGGATGGAGGGCTTCTTGGTATCCCCACAGGTCCTCTGCCTGTGCCCTCATGGCTGCCACACCTCTGGTCTTTGGTCCCCTGCTTCCAGTCCCCCAAGCTATGTGTACCCCCTCAGCCGAGCACTTGGCAGCCAGGACAGCCGGCTTGCTAGGCTGGCGTGATTGTCAGTCCTGCAGAAGGATTATCACTCTACGGCCATGCGGCCTCTGCCGAGGCTCCCAGCCTGGGCCTCAAATCAGGCTCACCCTGCAGACCATGTATGGGGAAGTACTTCCGGGTCAGCCCTTGAAGCCCATGCAGTCACAGGGCCACTGCCCTCGGTGATGAGTGCTACTTGTGTGTCTCTACCCAACCTGTCCAGGAGCCACAGAACCGCTGGCTCTGTGCATGGTCTCAGGCTGCCTTCTGCTCGCTTCCTAGGGTAGGTGAGATTCGCCCGGTGTCTTTCCCAGCCCTACCACACCTGCCCTCAGATGCCAAGATACCCAGTGCCCAGTTCTCCACTGAAGCTGCCTTTTGTGCAGAGTTGCTATGACCCCTTCATATGACTTGTTACCTTAATGCAGAGAGGCGGTGGCCCTGGGGCAGAACAGCAATATTGTGATGTGTTCTGTCATATCAGCAGCAAGGGGGGGAAGGGAGCTTGTATAGAACTGGCGTGCAGGCCCGGCCCTGCCATGCTAGTGCCCTGTCCACTTGTGATCTAGACCCCTGGCCCAATCCCATGCAGGTGCAGAGAGGAGGCGGGAGCCCTGGCAGTGTCTGACAAGCCTCGGGTGGGATTCCCCACCGCCTCTGCCTCCAGACCCGGAGCCCCTCATCTACTTACCAGCTGGGTTCTTACTAAGGGTTGAACCTGATCGCTGTCACAAATATTCAGATTGTCTTTGTTTTTCAGGTCTGGTACGGCTGTCATAAACATCTCCTGGCTAGTGTGTTTTTTATTTTCTTCTAGATGGTTGCCCTGGGTACATTCCCTGAAGTTAAAACACTGGGTCAGTGAATTTTCGGAGGGACTGCACTACTTTTTAGGAAGGTGGTTTTGCTTTTTGGTATTTTGAGAGTCTCTGTAATTTAGGCTGGCTTGGAACTCGGGAGTCCTGCTTCAGCCTCCTGAGTGCCCGCGGTTATGGTCATGCACCACTGCACATGCAGGGGCTCCACCACCCTGAACTGCTGACAGCACAGAGGAAAGAGTAACTTCGAGTACCTCCACCTAAAGACCGTATACTAACAAGCTTGCTGGTGGGTTCCAGAACTCACGAGGCCAGCTGTACCTGGCGGCCCTCAGCAATGCTGTGCTTCTCTTTTTCATCAGCCTGCAGTGCCTCAGAGCCCTGTGAAAGACGAGTTAAGAAGGAAGTACCTGACCCAGGTGGACATCCTGCTGCAGGACGCGGGATACTTTGAGGTATTTGTTTCTCATGTCTGCTTTACAGCCACACCATGAAGTAGACGCTCAAGTCTCCTTGCATGGCCTGGAGCCCCGCTGGCCCGTCTTCACATTCCGTGCTTGACAGCAGGGCCGCGCTAAAGATCCGCAATTTTGTTGGAAGAGGGGCAGCTCCTGGTGCCACAAGTCAGGGGTTGGGATTCTGGTGCCACAAGTCAGGGGTTGGGATTCCACCCTCCAGGGGAGGGACCGTCCTGGTGCTCCCCAGTTCTCACATCCTGTGACTGTCCTGTAATCATTGGCTTTGATTCCAGGCTATAGCGAAGGGAGTCAGGAAGGACACACCTGAGACCCTAGGCCCTTCCTCGGCCTTGCCTGTCTTGCCCCAGCCTGGTAAGTGTGACATTGAAACTACACAAACCAGATGCGCAGCCTTTGCTCTTCCTGGAGCCACTGGGACCCTGGGCTCAACATGTCCCATCATGGCCCAGTCCACCCAGCACTTCAGCTGTAGGGACACCTACACATTATAAGAAATCCTGGGACCCCTGCAGTGTGGCATGGGAGTCCCCGCCAGCTCTCCATCCCCTCTTCTAGCATAGACATCCTCAATCGCCCCGCAGCAGAGGGGTGCTTTAGTGAACACACTTACGGTGCATCTCCAGCTGCTGCACAGCCCCTGCACACGGGGAGCTCCAACCACGTGCTTGGTTCATGCATCCAGTATTGCTGAGTGCTTCATGTGGGTCTAGAACAGGATAGTTCTACACCCTGAATCCTATGAGCTGGCAGGTTCAGCTTTGGCCCCCCTGAGCTGGCCACACCCTCTGCTCCTGCTCCTCCCATCCAGTCCCCACCCAGTGCGTGGAGTTGTTACCTTCAGTCTTCAGTAGGCCACTGGCTTGCAGAGGTCCCTCAGTTTAGAGTCCGCTGACTCCGCTGCAGTTAGGTTCCTGGTTTATTTTCGGCGTGAATACTACCTGTGACATTCTGTCCTCCTAGGACATGGCCTCAGGCTGTCCCACTGGTGCTGATTGTTCAGTGGAGATGGGACCTGCCAACTTCTCACTGCAGGGTCCCTCTCCTTGGGGTTCCCTTTGAGCTTTTTGCTGGTTTCTAGTGGTGGTTACCTGTGTTGGTGGCAACCCAGACCTTTGATTACTATTTTTTTGCTTTTCGGGGCTCTGTACGAATTCATGAGCCTTTTTAAAATGCACCTGTCACAGTCTGGCCAGCGTTCCTCCTCTTGACACCCAAGTAGTCCCACCTCGGGCCTCCTCCATGTCCTCTGACCCAGGTCCCTGTCAGTCCAGGAGCACCAGTTCACCCCTCCACTGTCGCACAACCAGCCATGACAAGGCGTTAGAGTTTTCCCATTGGTTTGAATTCTTTTTAAATACAATTTTAAAATGTATTTATTTCACATGTTGCAAAAGAAGGTGTGTAAGAGTGACTGGGAATCTAGCTGCCCTCCCTGGCAAGACTTGTTCCTAAATATTTAAGGCTTGTTTTGTTTAAAAGAGGTATGACCAGGATCTACGTACGCTGTGTGCTCTGTACACATGGGTGATGGGGAGGCGACGCTTCCTGACTTGGTGTGCTTTTCTCCCAGGATCTTCTGGTGGGGACTCAGCAGAGCGCCTCAGGAGCCCCAGGCAGCCGGCTTCCTCTCCACCAGCCCGGGGTCCCTTGCACCCTTACCCAGAAGACATGGCCATAGTACCTAGAAGTGACAGTCTCTCGTTCCTGGAGACCAGCAACCAGTCCTTTGAGGCCACTGACATCTGCAGCGTGACCATCAGCGACCTGTACGAGGGCATGCTGCACTCTATGAGTCGGCTGCTCAGCACAAGGCCGTCCTCTACCATCTCCACCAAAACGCTCATCATGCAGAGCTGGAGCTCGCGGAGGAGGCATCCCCGGAGGGGCCGGGTGCAGACTAGTGAGGCGTGCTGCAAAGGGGCCAGGCACTCCCAGGGGTGCGCCAAGGCGAGGTCCCCACCCTGCCTAGAGCTCCAGAGAAAGAGGCGAACGCTGCGAGACTGCAAGAACTTGCTGCAGGTCACTCGCCACAAGACAGATTTAAAGTTGAAAAGGACTTTTAAAGAGAACAGTCCCCAGCTCCCTCAGGTAGAGCCTAGTCCGAAGGAGCTTCAGGTGAGGACGCCCTGGACGCCGTCTTCATTGTCTTCCTTGGACTTCAGCTCAATGCATCTTGATTGGGAAAATCGACTTACGGCCTTAGGATGGTTAATTTCACCTAGGAAAGTAGTTCCCCGGCCACACGCGCTGCAGGACCATGCAGGGAATCGATACAGGGAGATTGAAAGCAAGTTTGACAGGTTTTATCTTGAATGCTGCCTGAGTCCTAGAAGACATCCTCAAGCCGCTGGACACTCAGACTCCCTGGCCTTAGACGTGTACAGAGGTGGTGGTGTGAGGCCAGGTGCTCCCTGGGGCTCAGGGGCCCACAGGCTGAGGTTTCCTTTCAACAGAGCAAAAGCTAAAAGCTTAAGTGAGATTTTTGAGTACCTGGACAAAAGATCAGCTGAAGTGAGCAGGTGTCCCCCAAGGAGGGATTCAAAGTCCCATCCCCCGCAGAGCCCAGGCAGCTCTATGCAGACATCTGACCTTTTTCAAGGACACAATTCTGAAACCATCAGAAAAGCAGTATCACCCAGCCATGCTATTTCAGTACCAAGGACAGAAGCCCCCAGCTCACCTAAGAGTCGCTATGATGAAATTAAAGAAAGATTTGACCAACTTCATCAGAAGTACATCCCAGTGTCCCCTCAGCCAGCAAAGTTGCCTTCACTCGTCAGAGTGTGTGCAGATAAGGCCAGGGCGGGAGTTCAGGGCCACACAGGAAACAGCATCCGAAGATCACACCTAGACCCCTGCCTCCAGGGGCTCTTGAGAAGTCCACAGGATCCCACTACATTTGAGGCCCACGTGTTTGCGGGCACAGCCCAGAGGGACCCTCCAGTCCCCGTAAAACGACGCAGGATGTTGGAACCCCAGGTGTACAGATTGCAGACCAGGCAGCTGCCCAGCCCCTGCCAGCACAACCAGTAGCCAGGGGTCCCTGTGAGTATTTTGAGAGCAACAGCTCTGGAGGCCATGGCCTTTGTTTCTTGTTTGGTTTTTGAAGTGTTGGAGTTGCGTCTTGGGTCCTCGCGCCTGCTGTCAGATGAGGGCACACCCAGCCCTGTGCCACTTCTGCCCAGTTCCAGCAGGACTCCTGTAAATGTTTATTTCCCACGCACTGTCCCCAAGTCTTTTCCTGTCTCTAAAATCAGCATTTATATGAAGTACATGTTTCTGAGGAAAACACATCAAAGTACAACTAGAAATATTCTGATTTTATTTATTTATTTATTTACTTTTTCGGTGATACCAGGGCTCAAACTCAGGACCTTGCGCTTGCCAGTCAAGCACTTATTCTACTGAGCTATCTCCCCCGCCTGAAATACTCTTGAAGGAAGAGTAGCTGCACATTTTCCATCAGAATGATTTAGGCTTTTTTTTTTTATTAAAAATTTGTACTTGTTACTATCTTTCATCTTTGCCAATGTGACGTTTCCCACTCCTTTATCTTATGCTCAGAAAATAGGTACACTGAGGTGAAAGGGACCTGGAAGCCCTGACTTTCTGACAACCCTGGGTTCCAACCTGCTGTGGGCAGCTGGTGTAGACGCGCCACCCCCAGGCCTCACCCCTGCTCTGCCTGTAACCGCAGTCCCTTGGCCTGAATCTCTAGAATCTCTGGTCGGGCTTTGTGCATCCGATTCACCTCCAGGCGACGCCCTCCAGGCACTGGCGGAAGCAAAGCAGGCATGTCTGCAGCAGCATTCGCCTTCCTGTTTGAGGGAATGATTGGAGGAAAGGCTGCTGCCCAGGGCAGAGGTCCCAGGGGTAGGGGACGCTAAGCCTGGAGAGTGCTGCTCACCCCCTGGGCTGTGTGGACAGTTCCTCTGTTCACCTGCAAGACGGCAGTCCAGAGCAGTGCTCAGCCACCTGCATGTCGGCCCCCCTCCTGCACCCACATGGCTTCCCCAGGACAAAGCAGTGCCGGGGAAGGGGACCTTCAGCTGTGGCTCTTCACTGAGTCTGGCCTGGCTAAGGCCTCTGAGGTCCCAGGTCCTGCTCTGGAGGTGACCTTGAGAGTGATAGCCTGCAGCTGTCACAAGACGGTCCTCCCCTAAGGTCCTACTGCCTGCCTGGGGCTTCTTTCTCTGGTCTGGCCATGACAGTGATGCTAAGTTGTCCCACCCCGTGAGCAGGTGTCACCTTACCTGAGAGGGGGACAGTGCTCAGCCCTTAGTGCCCAGCAGGGTTTTAGCATTCCTGTGGACCATGATGGCTGAGTACTGTGGCCATCACCGCAGTCGTGTAGGGAGGGCACAGATTTTCCACTCACCGTGAGGAAAATTACTCACTGTGTAATTCAGACTGCCTTGAATTCACTCTTCAGCCTCTCCTGTGTCCTGACCACGCTGTGGCTCTCCTATAGGCCACCTGGGAGACCCTGAGGAGACCCTTCCCCCTTGTGCAGATTCTTGCTGCGAGCAGGCGCAGGCTGAGCCTGCTGACTTAGACTCGGTCTGATTGACACAAGCGGTGCAGGGTGTGTGGTGCTGAGGGTTGAGCCTGAGCCCAGAGCCTTTGGACCAAGCTGGATCTTGGCCCTTTTTTACTCTGTCTGTTGAGAGGGTCTCACTAAGTTGCCCCCTCTGGGCTTGAACTTGTTTTCCTGCCTCAGCCTCCTAGAGTGTGCGCCCCACGGTGGAGGCCAGGATTTGAGGGTGTACCTGCCTAGAGTGGCTTTCTGTTGTTAGGTCCCTCGGCTTCTTTATTAATACAGTGACATTTTAAAAATGGACATGTATCTTTGTAACTACACAATGGAATATAAAGCAGGTAAGTTTTTGCTGGCTGTCTTTGGAGCTCTTGTGGAATTATACTGAAATCACTGTCTTTTTCTCTTCAGGGGAAAGAAGAACACATCCTTCAGGATGGAAGAGAAAAGTGATTTTGGTTAGAAGAATTCAAAACTAAAAATATGTAGCCAGGTTCCTTGGAGCTGCGACCCTCGCTCTCTGATGCTCTGCTTTGTTTGTGGCTGTTTCCGTTTTTTCCCTCCTGACTCAGTCTTGCTAGGAGGCTGGGCTGGTCCTCCTGCTCTGTATCCTCCTGCCTCAGCCTCCTGTGTGCAGCTCAGTCCTGAGCCACAGCACCCAGCTGTTCTTTCTTCTTGTTCTACAGTACTGGTCATGGGACCCAGGGCCTCAAGTTTGCTAAAAAGCACTCTGCCCTGGGCCACACCCCTAGCTCTTTTTTGTTTGAAAGTAGGACATGTGTGGCTTATCCACCCTTGATGCAGATTCAGGGAAACTCTTCTGGCACAGTGAACTCTGGGTTCCTATTATTAATATTGTGTAAATTAGGGGGGTTTTTGTTTTTACGAGACAGGATCCTGCTGTGTAATTCAGACTGCCTTGAATTCACTCTGCAGCCCACACAGGCCTCGAACTCCCCGTGTTCCTCCTGCCTCAGCCTCCTGAGTGCTGGAGTTAGTTTTCCACCACCAGGCCCAGCTTCAATTTAGATTTTCAAGTCAGCCTTATAGGCCCTTTTGTCTCAGGTTTTCTTTTTAAAATTAGATATGTTCTGAGAATTCTCCATTTCCTGTTATTTTTTAATTTAATTTTTTTTTTTTTTTTTATGTTTCTTTTAAAAACCTACATTTAAACCTGAATGCAGTGTCCCTGAAGGGAAATGTGACCGCGTGGCCTGTTACTCAGACCCCACACATAGCTTCCTCCACTCGAGGCGGTGGCCCGGACTCTGCTCCCCTAAAGAAGTAACTCCCTCCTGGAGCCGGTGAAAGCGTGCTGTGTCTCAGCAGTCCCACAGTAGCCCTGCCACCCACGCTGCAGAGCAGCCGCGTCACCTGCGTCCCTGTTGAGACTGATAAAACACTGTTGTTAATGGCTCACTTCTGATATTCAAGAACAGTGGCAGAGTCCATGAACTGACCAGCAGGAGTAATACTTGTTGATACCTTGCTCTCTGATATGTGTGCTGCATGCGTGTACGTGCGCGTGTGGGTGTGCTTTCCATAAAAGATTAAAGATAGGAAAGGGTTACACACTTTTTTCTCCTTCCTTGGTGATTCACTCTGGATGTCCCCAGCCTCTGTCACCCTGTGTTGCTGGGACAAGGTTAACAGTAGCCATGAGTCGGCTCAGGCCTCAGGAGTAGCCTCCTGGGGGCTTGCACAGCAAGGGTTGTCTCGGTCCTAAGCCAGGGTCCAGCCTGGCGGGGAAGGAAGGAGGAATGGCAGAATGCAGCCCATCCCGAGGCTCCAGGGACCTCCAGCCTCAATCTCCCAAAGGCTCCTCTCCAGTCCCAGCCTGCCAAGTCAGGGCCTCCCCCTGTGTGCTGAATACATGAAGGAGGGTGCCCTCAACACACAGCTGGGCCCAGAGGCTCACCTCAGCTAGCCTTGGACAGGGTGGCCCCACTTCTAGACCTCTTGGGGCCCCTGCTTCCTGGGGTACAACCCACTCTCCATCAGAAACCTGTCACGGGTTGCCATAGGGTCTGAGAGGTTTTGATGTTCTGGTGTTCAGCATGGGAGGGTGGGAGTAGTGACGGCTTTAGCCAGTCTGCTAGGAAGGGACCTGTAAATGTCCACTTTTAATTTGCGCTTGAGGTATTTAGTGCATGCGTTCCTGGGCTTTGTTTCACTAAGGTGGTTTGCATTTGATGAGAACTAGCATGCCAGGTGCCACAGTTTAAGGGTGACCCCCTGAGGTCTGTTGGAAGCAAGGTCCTGGGGTGCTGGTACTAGAGGTGCTCTGGGGCCTAACCAGAGGCATCCGTCAGCAGAGAATTAAGGTATTTCTGGTAAGAGGCTGAGCCTGGCCCTGCCCTCTACCACAAGCCCTTTAACAGGCACAAGTGGAACATGGTGAGTTAAGCACCTCTGTACAGGCAGCTTGTCTTAGGTGTTCTGTGAGGACGGATTCTTTCTGAAGAGTTCCCTGTAGCTAGTTTATTCTCATATCCTGGGTAGAAGCACATGGGCCACGATGTGGACACGGTCAGAGGTGGGGGGTTGCAGTCACAGATGGTACAGGTGCAGCTGGAGCCTGACTCCCTGGGGTCACTGATTCCTCAGGGTGCTGCCTCTGGGGCCAGGGTCACCACGGTGGTTGTGAACTCAGCATAGTTTGCTGTCTTCTGCCCTGAGCTCCAGGGTGCTGTGCTGGGGGGCCTGGCCCTCCCAAAGTCCTGAGAACTCGCCTCTTTCCTCTGGCTTGGTTTGGATCTCTCTGTACAAGCCCATTGAGTTTATATTTATTGAAAATCAATTCAACCTGTGACTTGTCATTCAGCTTTCTGGCGTTTCATTCTTCTGGAGCTACCTTTTCCGTGGCCAGAGAGAGTACTTTTTCTAGCTGCTGTTACCTGTTCAGGAGCGGGCTGAAGTCCCTCTGTTCCCGTTTATGTCTGAACCTCGCGTGGGGCCCTTGGCCACGTGATATGCGCATGTGCCAGGTGCGCCTGCGCACGCATCTCGCTGTTTGCTGAGGCATCTCATCGCCCAGCAGGAAACAGCTCCACTATTTGTTCCCTAGGAGCCGCAAAGCAGCTCCAACAGCATCTAGAGCAGACTGGAGTGGAGGCTGAGTCGGGCTGGAGAGGAACCCCTATCCTTTGAGGGGACCCGTAGAGGCTGTCTTTAGTGCTTGCAGGGTGCTGGGGACCATTCTGTTGATTGCCTTAGTGTAGGAAAGTCTCTTTCTTGTCTCCTCTCTTATCCCTTGGACGTGGGGCTGATTTCTCCTATTCAACCCTCAGCCAAATTCTGTTCACCCTCACTGACAGCCCAACATGCTTTGGGAACCTGGGGCACCTCAAGATGGGTGGGGGAGGCCTCCTCTGTTTGTTTCTCTGCCATGAGGAGGGACACTGCCTTGGGGGCTGCCACTGCACTCCGCCCTGAAAGCCTTGTGTCATGGTCAGCTGGTACACGTCAGCCTTTTTAGGAATGAGGTCCCTAAGCGGAAGGTGGGCAGCAGATCGCCTCCCCTGGCAGGTGGGGCGGGCACGTGCCCTGCATGGGTAAGACGCCATGGACACAAAGCCAGGGAGGCTCAGACTCGGGGCATAAACTGTCGGGCACACCATGGGACAAAGCGAGAAGGAAGTGGCCTGTGAGGGCTCAGGTTCCCTTGGCTCTGTGTCTTGGTTCTAGGATGTCATCCCCTCAGTCAGGATACTGCAGTCCAGTAGCATTGCAGGTTTATTTCAGCAGGAAGAAGCAGGCCTACTCACTGTTCTGTAAAGTTTTCCTTCAAAACTAAGTTAAAAATGGTTTGCATTGCTGTGGAAGGGGTCAGCACTCAGGAAGCAAGACCCATGGCCTGCTTGGACCCCTAGGACACTCCTTGTGGCAAAGCTGGGAACCAGGCCTGACTGCAGCTGTCCAGGACTTTCAGGGCCTCCAGGGCTGCCCTCCTGACGCCAGGGTCTGAGTCCAGCTGCAGCTCCTGGAGAGCTGAGAGCAGAGGAAGGGTCGGCCTGTGTGCAGAGCCACACACCCTGTGTCGCCACGCACCCTGTGTCGGGCCCTGGCCTGAATGCAGGCTGAGGCAGGATGCCGCCTGGGAGGGCCGTCTCAGAGCCTTCTGGACACAAGGCCAAAGACCAGCAGGTGGAGCTGTGCCCCACACCCAGCAAGACCTCAGGGCTGAAGTGGGGCGGGGGTGGGGGGGTGGGGG